AGGATCATTGCCTTATTGTTTAAAGCAAAAGATGGCAGACAAGAAAAGTGGAAGGAAAAGAAAAAAAAGAAAGAATTAAAAAGATAAGAAAAGATGAAGAAAGGCACACGGGACAGGGACAGTGGGGTGGAAAGACAGAGCGGGCAGACAGAGAGGAGTAGAAGAACCAAAAAAAAAAAGAATACAAGAAGCAGGAACAGCAAGGATAGCACAGCAGAAAGGAAAAAGGGAAATAACATAATGGAGACTGACAGAGAAGGCACATGGACTGACAGAAGGAAAAGAAAAGAAAAAAAAAGAAAGGAATAAGAGAGGAGAGAGACACGGACAGAAGGAGATAAGAGAGGAGAGAGGAGGGCAATGCGGAAAGAAAGGAAACACAAGAAGCAGAGGCGCAGAGAAAGGAGGCGCAGAGAGAGGGAGAGCACGGCAGGAATAGAGGCACAGGGTAGTGAGCAGAGAACAGGCGTAGAGAAAGAGGAAGTCAGTCCATGTGCCTTCTCTATCAGTCTCCATTATGTTATTTCCCCTTTTCCTCCTATCCTTGTTGTTCCTGCTTCTTGTATTCTATTTTTTTTCGTTCTTCTACTCCTTTCTATCTGCCCGCTCTGTCTTTCCACCCCACTGTCCCTGTCCCGTGTGCCTTTCTTCATCTTTTCTTATCTTTTTAATTCTTTCTTTTTTTTCTTTTCCTTCCACTTTTCTTGTCTGCCATCTTTTGCTTTAAACAATAAGGCAATGATCCTTTCAAAACATCACCCCGTGGAGACAAGCTCCACTTCCATTTCTCTTATTTGTTTTTATTAATTCCTTTTCTCCATTTTGCTTGAAAGTGATCCTAAAATAAATTTAACTGCACATTAACACAAGATAAGGTAAAATGCCACAATTTTAACACAAAAACATCACAAAGACTTTAGAAATGGATGGTATAAATGCATGAAATATATGAGTGATCAAATACCCCCAAACTTACATTTTTGCTAGTCCTCAAGCAAAATAAAGAAAACAAAACACAACCTAAACCTTCCAACGTTTGCCTCAGGGATTTCCAACGCACATGACATGTTAAAAATCATTATTCCCACAGATTTTAGTTATCTTCACACTTGAGCACATACTTAATCACAGTTACCACTTACTAGTTCACATTTAACCAATTAAAATGATGTTTTGAATGTAGTAACATGCCTTAGAGAATTTGCTCAATTCCTTACAAGATACTCTCTATTTTCACACATTTTCTGACTACACACCCTACACTAGTTATATGTGAGAAGATTGATGTAAACATGAAAACGAACACTCACATATATGTATAACAAAGAAAGCGATTTTCTGGAGTTATTAAGCATGTTTTAGATATGATCTCATGAATGGAATGCTACTACTTAGATGCAAGAACCAGTGACACCATATGCTCATACCAATTTCAAACTCCACATATTGAAACGCATGACACTCAAGATGAAGTTAAGGGTTGTAATGAGGTTTAAGGGTAATGGCTAACAAAGAAAGGATAGGGATAACAAACGTTCTTAAAGCGATAGCAAGCAAAGCAATGAAATAGACACTTGGAAATCACTTTAGAATGCAGAATCAACTTTTAATTACAAAGGGAAGATTGATGCAACACTTAGGGTCGAATTCAATGCTTTGGACCCTTTCTTCAACAAACAACACTTTAGAGCTCTTTCTCATATATTTTTCAACTCTTTTTTCACTCTTTTTCACAACTTTTCTTCTTTTCATTCTATTTTTCACGAATTTTTCTTTTCTACCCGTGCCTTATGAATGATTTTGGCATACACACACACACAAGAATCATTTCCCCCACACTTGTTTTTCTGCAAGAGTTCAACAAAAGGAATTCCTTCTAAATTATGCTTTACTATGCTTCAAGAACAAGGGTATGGATGGTCCTAATCTAGGCTAGGTGAGGATAGTGTGGGTAACAAAGAACATAGGCTACACAAGGCTCAACGGGGTTAAACTTAAACACATAATGAACAGGATAGGCTTTTTGGCTCTTGGCTCACTAAACAACTTCATCTTGAATATGTGTTATGCAAATCAATAACATGCTTTGAATGAAATAGGCATGAGTTCTAGCATTTGGAACTAAATGATGAAACGCCTTCTAAGTAGCAACCAAGCAAAGAATAATGAGATCATGCAACGACTTAGAAAACAAGGATAGACAGATTATTAACTCTCCAAATAAACGTTTAGGCTCAAGTCTCACAAGGTTGTAGCGTTCATTTGAGTTCCTTCTTTCAAGCATGTTACAAAAACTGATTTTTCCTTTTATGATTGCATGTGAATTCATAAATTATAACCACAACCAAGCATACACCAAAGAGTAAATCAAATTTTCATCCATGTTTTTAACTCTCTTTAACAGTCATGTAATTAAAAACCAAATCCTCATCATTGTGTTGGAAGGTACCCTAAGACACAAATAAACATACAAAAACAATTATTCAAAATTTTATGAGATTTTCGAATTTTTATGTCAAAACACACTAAAACACTCCAAAACAGCTTAAAAACACTTAAAACAGCAAGGAACAACACTAGAAGTAATGGGTGATAAACTCCTACGAATTTCATGCAAAACAATGGTTACCCCCCCCCCCCACATTTAAATCAAACATTGTCCTCAATGTTTCAAGCATAAACTCACACAAACAAACAACGAATAAACATGACGAGTATGGCAATGTAAAAATTAGACAGAGTAGAGTTTAAGAATGCAAATCTGGTTTTGGAGATAGATGATCTTGTTATCTTTCCACAGCTTTGATCTCGAACTGGTTTGGAATTTTGAGCGAGGAATATGAAAGTTCCTTGGTTTCAAATCAGACTCCTTCTGCTGGGTTGATTTGATTGTGCAGTCTGCATTCTTCTTTACTTGTTTCTTCTACACGGCGGGCAGGCACGAAGTAGAGATGTTGGTCTGTTTCTTTCTACTATCTTTCCAAGTGCCCACCTCTTGCTTTCTTTCCCCTTGTCCCTAGCTGAGGATGAATTGGCAAATTGTCTCCACATGCTTCGAGGTATCATTTTCACTTCCCTTATCTGTTCCCCAGGCAGATGTGGTAGACGAAGAGGAAGCATAAAATGATGAAGATGAGTACTCGAGAGCAAGGCTAGGTAAGCAATCAGGAAAGGGTTCCAGGCAGTCGCTTCCAGATCAGAAGATTGATACCAAGTGCTGGCTGATTGCTCTCTTTCTCCTTATTTTAAAATAACGACAAGGAGAAGGACAGGGAGAAAGCATGATATGAGATACTCTTGCTTTCAACCTTCATGATATGAAATACTTTTGCTTTGGATGGGTTGTTTGCAGAGGTACCCCAAGGAATAAGGAACACTGAATGACTCGAGAGGGTTTGTTGGAAAGGCATTCTCGAAGATGATGGAAGGTTATGTATGTCTGCCTTGCCATGGAGGGTGAAGGTTGACATTTATAGGAAATAATAACCGGTACTGTTCTTTCACTCTTGTCGGCAACCGTTGGATGATTGAACAGTAAACTTCACGTGCTTTCTACTTTACCAGAAATCGTCGACAGATTGCCTGTGATTTCCGTAAGCTGAGTGTGCATATGACAGATGCTGACACGTCTGGATAAAGCAGATGCCTCTTCGATATCTGGAATCGGTGCTTCGACAAATTGCCCGTGATTTTCGCAAAGCTGAGCGTGCATGTGAGAGATGCTGACACGTCTGGAAAAGCATATGCCTCTCCAATTTCTGAGCTTGCCTCTTCGAAATCTGAGCTCCGTCGAGTGCAGAGGTTGCATGTGACGAGTGCGGACAAATCTAGAACAAAGGATGGCCCGTGGTTTCTGAGCAAGCCCAACTTTTGAGAAAGCTAGCGCCTCTTCGATTTTTGAATTGGCCTCTTTGAATTCTGAGCTCGCCTCTTCGATATTTGAAATCCCGTCGAGTGTTGATTTTTATAGAGGCACGCAATTCATTTCAAAGCACACTTGAATTTGCGCTTGTATAAACTCTCTTCTTGCACTTCTAATATCTTGACTTGTCTGATCTCTTCTTTCTTCAACACCTTTGAAAATGTCTGGCCCTTCCGACCGTCATTTTGACTTGAACCTTGGTGAAGAGGCAGTCCCGCCTTCTCCAGACAACATATGGCGCCCATCCTTCATATCCCCTATTGGCCCCCTTACCGTTGGGGATTCGATGATGAAGAATGATATGACAACTGCGGTGATGGCCCGGAACCTTGTCACTCCTAAAGATAACAGACTGCTTTCAAAACGGTCTGATGAATTGGCTGTTAAGGAGTCTCTGGCTCTTAGTGTGCAGTGTGTGGGTTCTGTGTCCAACATAGCCCAACGCTTATTTGCTCGAACCCGTCAAGTTGAATCGTTGGCGGCTGAAGTGATGAGTCTCAAACAGGAGATTAGAGGGCTCAAGCATGAGAATAAACAGTTGCACAAGCTCGCACACAACTATGCCACAAACATGAAGAGGAAAATTGACCAGATGCAGGAATCTGATGGTCAGATTTTACTTGATCATCGGAGGTTTGTGGGTTTGTTCCAACAGCATTTGCCTTCGTCTTCTGGGGCTGTACCGCGTAGTGAAGCTCCAAATGATCAACCTCTGATACCTCCTCCTTATGTGGCCCCGCCAACTGCTGAGGCTCCGCTGACTACTGAGACTTCTCCTAAGCAGCCTTTGTGAAGGCTCCCTCTTGTATTTATCTGCTTAATGTTCCTTCCTTTTTTATGAATGTAAAAATGCCTTGCATAACTGTCAGTGTTTCAAAAATAAACTCACACCAAAAACAATTAAACAAGCAACAAATAAAAATATCAATCATGGGAAAATAAAACTACAGAGAAGGGAAGGTTTTTAGAAACGCAAAACTGATTGTTGAGCAATTCAAAAATCTTCCTTATTTGAATATATGGGTTGCCTCCCAAGAAGCGCTTGCTTTAACGTCTTGCAGCCGGACGATACCTCCAGCTAAGCTTGAATAGGACCCAAGGTATGAAGGGGTATGTCCTCCACGGCATGCTCCTCAAAATACTCATACATTGGCTCTCTGAATGGAAGGGAATAGTAATCCTTCCTGATTGGGGCGTTGAGCATCCTAAAGTCAATGTATTCATTCCCACCAGCTCGAATTCGATTGGGGACCTGCACCAAACAAGGTAACAACCTATTAGTTAAAATGGGAATCGAAATTGGAATAGGTGGCTTACCAATGTGTTGTAATGAAGTGGCAGCACTGTCAACAGATTTTCCAAATGTGCTTTCGGCCAAATTATGCATTTGGAGGTCAGTGGTGTGTTCTTTGTGCTCCACTCCAATTCCCTCTTCATTGGAAATGGATGGTATAAATGCATGAAATATATGAGTGATCAAATACCCCCAAACTTGCATTTTTGCTTGTCCCCATGAAACAACAGCCAAGAACTAAGTAAAAGCTCAAAACATCATCCAATAGTTAACCAAATTTCCTTCAAACAAAACATTGAAATGTCATGTGTGAGCTAGCCATGTCAATGCAATTCCAAGCTCCTTTAAATCATCATATGCAAACATGTGAGCTTGTCACAAGACATACGCTCATTCACTCATAAGTTTTGGTTAATGTGTTTCACTCAAGTGATCTCATTGTACATGCCGCCATATGCTTGCTTGTCCACCTAACTCGCTATCAATATTTTAGTAATACCTTGGATCAATAGGACTTTATTACAGTTGTAATGGGGCTAAAGGTGATAGGCTAATGAAAGAAAGGATATGGAAATAAAAAAATTTGAGAAAGTACACTTTAGTAGTTTTCCAACACCTCAATATCACACCACCTCAAATTGAAAGCAAAATAATAAAACTTCGAGCACCTGTTACTCCCCAAATTCAACTTCAAAAGGAAATTTATACTCTGCAGACACATTTTCAACAAATCAACACTCTCCAATTTTTTTTTTTTTTTTTTTTTTTTTTGATGTGGCTAACAAAGAAATGGCTTAGTTAAAGGCTCAACGGGCCACTATGGACACACATAGCATATAAGGTAGGCATGAAAGGCTCAAACGATCCAAAGATGGCCTATATCACTTCCAAGTTATTACATGAATTGATTAATGAATCGAGAAGTATAAAGCAAGTTCTAGAGATACATGTACAGTGAGATCATACGCACAAGAAGGAATGAGATTGATGCATAATGGTTCAATCATGTATAGGCTCAAAAACTCACAAGGTTTACATAATCTCACATGATTCACATATAAAACGCTAAATCATGCTCAAGTTTCACATTGACAAGACTAGGCACATTTATTTATCAAGTTGATTGCTGGAAATCACAGTTAACACAAAGACAACGAAAATAACTTAGACTTCTTGGAAGTAAGAAGGAAATTAAGATCAAATCTCATCATTGAATTGAGACGTACCTACAAACAACAACAAAAAATACAATTTTTTCTTTTTTTTAAAAAAAAACAAGAAGTAAACTAATGACATATATTTCCACCCCCAAACTTAATTATAGCATTGTCCCCAATGATAATGAAAGGAATTTTGAACAATACGATATAAAACTGGAAGGAAAGAAATATAAAATAAAATCGAGACACATAAAGAAAAGGAAAGAACACACCAATTTGTGTAGGCGAGGAGAGCAGCAGTAAAAATGCATTTTTGTTCCATGGTAGAATTCCAAATCATCCCCAAACTTGTTTCAATACGTCCCATTATGCATAATAAATGTGTGAGTAACCCGTGGGATTAAGAAACTTTGCAAGAAGTTGTGGTAGAGACTGCAAAAGCATTACCTGCATAAGGGAGCAAAAGTAGGATTTAAACACACAAACCAGAAAACAAGAGAAAAACAGAACAAGAACATTTAAAATTATTCAAACTAAAGATGAAAGATAGAAAGCTTAGGTTGCCTCCCAAGTAGCGCTTTAGTTACTGTCTAGAGCTAGACATTTTGTTGGCAGTTTGATTCAAATAACAGGTTCCTTCAAAGTGATGGAATCCTTGGCAAGATCATATGGAGACTCCTTGTATAACTTCAAGCGATGTCCATTAACTTTGAAGACAAAACCAGTTTGCATGTTTTGGATATCCACAGCCCCATGAAGATGGACCTGTACAACACGATATGGACCATTCCAACGTGATTTGAGCTTTCCTGGGAATAGTTTCAGTCTCGAATTACAAAGCAAAACCTTCTGACCCGGTTGAAACTCTTTACGAAGGATGTGAGCATCATGAAATTTCTTGGTCTTATCCTTGTAAATCTTTGCATTCTCATAAGCATCATTCCTTATTTCTTCCAGTTCATTCAACTGCAGCTTTCGCCTCTCTCCCGCTACTTGGTAGTCAAAATTGAGGTGCTTAATAGCCCAATATGCCTTGTGCTCAAGTTCCATAGGTAGATGGCAAGCTTTCCTATACACTAAACGAAAAGGAGACATCCCAATTTGTGTCTTATAAGCTGTCCTATATGCTCACAAAGCATCAGTAAGCTTTAAACTCCAATCCTTTCGAGATGAACTGACAGTTTTCTCAAGAATCCTCCTGAGCTCACGATTAGATACTTCAACTTGTCCAGATGTCTGTGGATGGTATGGGGTGGCTATGCGATGATGAATATGATACTTGGCACAAAGGGCAGCCATGGTGTGGTTTAAGAAATGCGTACCTTCATCACTGATGATAGCACGAGGTACTCCAAATCGGGGAAAAATAGTATTCTGCAAGAAACCAAACACCACAGAACTTTTGCATGTTGGAGAAGCTATTGCCTCCACCCACTTAGAAACATAATCAACTGCTACCAAGATGTAAAGATTGCCATGTGAAGAAGGGAAAGGTTCCATGAAGTCTATACCCCAAACATCAAATAGTTCAATCACCAAAATACTTTGTTGAGGCATCTCATTTCTCTGAGAAAGATTTCCAACTCTTTGACACTTATCACAAGCCTGGCAGCATAGGTATGCATCTTTGAATAAAGATGGCCAAAAGAAACCACTCTATAAGATCTTGGCCGTTGTCTTTCTTGGTCCAAAATGACCACCACATGCATAATGGTGAGCAAACTTCAAAATGCTTTCTTGTTCTTCTAAGGGGACACACCGACGAATGATTTGATCTTAGCAATGCTTGAAAAGGTATGGCTCATCCCAAAAGTAGTGTTTTACAGTGGAGAGGAACTTATTCCTTTGTTGGTAGCTGAACTCTGATGGTATTTCTCCAGATGCCAAATAATTTGCGATGTCAGCATACCATGGTACTTGATGAGTAACCGCTAGAAGTTGCTCGTCTGGAAAGCTCTCTTGCAGGGGCAATGAATCTGCCTCATCAATGCTTGCATTTACTAATCTTGAGAGATGATCCGCCACAACATTCTCACGTCCCTTTTTATCTAGGATCTCCAAATCAAACTCTTGCAAGAGAAGGACCCATCGAATCAATCGTGGTTTGGCCTCTTTTTTAGACAATAAGTACTTGAGAGCAGAATGATCAGAATACACAATAACTTTAGCACCAACTAAGTACGATCGAAACTTTTCAAGAGCAAATACCACTGCAAGTAATTCTTTTTCTGTAGTGGCATAATTCAGCTGAGCATCATTCAAAGTGCGGCTGGCATAATATATAACATGGGGGAGCTTGTCACGTCGCTGGCCAAAGACAGCACCCACAGCGTAATCGGAAGCATTGCACATGAGCTCAAAAGGAAGGGTCCAATCTGGAGCTGTTATAATTGGGGCTGATGTGAGAAGATCCTTCAATTTGTTGAAAGCATCATGACAATCTGCATTAAAATCAAAACAAGTATCTTTAGCAAGTAAATTACAAAGAGTACGACTAATTTTGGAAAAATCCTTGATGAATCTTCGATAAAAACCAGCATGTCCCAAGAAAGATCTCACATTCTTCACAGAAGTTGGTGGTGGTAATTTGGCGATCACTTCAATCTTTGCCTTGTCGACCTCTATTCCTTTGCTTGAAATTAGATGTCCTAGCACAATGCCATGCTTAACCATAAAATGGCATTTCTCCCAATTTAACACAAGATTAGTCTCCCTGCATCTTTCCAAAACCAAAGACAAGTTATCCAAACATATATCAAAAGAATTACCAAAAACAGAAAAGTCATCCATAAAAACCTCAACAATATTTTCAACCATTCCAGAAAAGATACTCATCATGCATTGTTGGAAAATGGCAGGGGCATTGCACAATCCAAATGGCATTCGTCTGTATGCAAATGTACCAAAAGGGCATGTAAACGTTGTCTTCTCTTGATCCTCAGGGGCAATTGGAATTTGGTTGCACCCTGAATAACCATCTAAGAAACAATAGAAAGAATGACCAGCTAGTCTCTCGAGCATCTGATCAATGAATGGCTGCGGAAAATGATCATTTCTAGTGCTGTTATTGGGCTTTCTATAGTCAACACACATTCGCCATCTGGTGGTCATCCTTGTAGGCACAAGCTCGTTGTTATCATTCTTCACCACAGTAATACCAGCTTTCTTTGGAACCACCTGAGTTGGGCTCACCCATTTACTATCCGAGATTGGATAAATAATACCTGCATCAAGCAACTTCATCACCTCAACTCTTACAACTTTCTTCATGATCGGATTTAGACGTCTTTGAGCTTCAACAATTGGTTTAGTCCCAGCTTCCATACAAATTCTATGCATGCACAAAGCTGGACTAATGCCCTTTATGTCAGCAAGTGTCCACCCCAGAGTATTTTGATACTTGCGAAGAACTCTTAGTAATTTGTCTTCTTCCGTGTCATTAAGATCAGCAGCAATAATAATAGGCAAGGTCTCATTCACCCTGAGATGAGCATACTTGAGGTGGCTCGGCAATAGCTTGAGCTCTAACTTCGGAGCTTGCTCACTTGAAGGAAGAAGGGGCTACTTAGGCACTCCAAGGCTTTCATAAACATGTCGCCACTTTGGATTATGAATTGGTGCACTATCCAATGCAGCAATGACGTCCACCATATTTTCTTCCATAGATAAAGTAGCATCATGGTTGGTGAGGCAAGTTAACAGCTCATCATTAGATGATCGTGAGGCAAAGTTTGCATGCACAATCCCATCCACAACATCAACACGAAAACACTCTTCAGGTTCGAAAGGACGCTTGACAGCTTCAAAGAGTTTGAATACAATTGACTATCCTTGCACTCTTAAGGTTAAAGTACCTGCTTCCACATCAATAAGTGTCCAGGCGATGGCCATGAACGGTCGGCCTAAAATGAGAGGCACTTCCTTGTCTTCCTCCATGTCAAGTATAATGAAATTAGCTGGAAGATAGAATTTATCCACTTTAATAATCACATCTTCCAGAATACCCAAAGGATAGGTCACGAACCTATCTGCCAATTGAAGACTCACAGATGTGGGCTTGAGTTCTCCTTCACCTAATTTTTGAAAAACAGAATAAGGCATAAGGTTAACACTTGCTCCTAAATCAATCAATACTTTATGAAAATCAAGACTACCAATAGTACAAGAGATAGTGAAACTCCCCGGATCTTTCTTCTTGGGTGGTAGCTTATGTAAGAGGACAGCAGTGCATTGCTCAGTTAAAATCACATTCTCGTATTCCAAGAACTTTTTCTTTTTAGAACATAGCTCCTTCAGAAATTTGGCATATGATGGGATCTGTTTAATAGCATCTAATAGAGGAAAATTAATTTGAACCTTAGCCAACGTCTTCATGAATTCAATGCATTGTTGATCCTTGGAACGTTGTTGCTGCCGTTGTGGAAATGGCAAAGGTGGCTTGTATGGTGGCTTGTCAGAAGGTGCAAATAAACTACCAAGGCCTTTTTCCTTGTTTGCATCAGAGTTGGGTCGAGATTGCACTTTGTCACTTGTACTAGGATCTGGAATACCTGCTACAGAAATAGCCTCTCACCGAGACTTTGCAGCTAACGGTGCACTTTCAGTAAACTCTTCTTCTTCCACTTCGGCTTCATGGTGCACCACTTCTCTGTTGTCATAACTCTTGCCACTTCTTAATGTCCGTATTACTTTGCAATGCTTCATCCCTCTTGGATTTTGCTCAGATTGGCTCGGGAACTTTCCTTTCTCTCTTTCATTGAACATGGTAGCAAGCTGTCCAACTTGAGTATCCAAATTCCTCAATGATGCCGTGAGATTCTGAATGCTAGTTTGTGTGGATTGGACAAAATTGTTAGTGCTATTAGAGAGAGCAGGCATATGTTGAGCTAGCTGTGACATTTGGTCTTCAAGAGATGGTTTCTTAGTCTCACTAGTTGATTGGTAAGACTGTTGGTATTGACGTGGCTATTGGTTGCCACCCCAACTGAGATTGGGGTGGTTCTTCCACCCAGGATTATATGTATTGGAATAAGGGTCACTTTGGGGTCTAATGAAATTATTCACCATATTCACATGCTCTTGCACAAGCTCAGGATAGCTATCCTTGTTGGGGCATTGAGTGATGTCATGAGTTTTCTAACTACAAATGATGCAAGCTTCCTAGGCATTGGGCATGGAAGAGACCTGCATTAAGGCAGCAAACTTGGCATTAAAATTCTTTTCCATTTTAGCAATTTGAGCAGAAACATTAGGAGAACTCTGAGAAATCTCAAAAACTCCCCTCTTTTGTGTTTGTTCTTCTGTCCATTGTTGGGATTCAGAAGCCATCATATCAAACAACTCAAATGCTTCCCTTGCAGATTTTGACATTAACGACCCTCCAGCAGATGCATTCACTTGACTCTTGGTGGTGGCATTGAGACCATCATAAAATATGTTCATTTGAAGGTTAGAATCAAACCCAGCATGAGGACATTTTGTGTACATCTCATTATACCTTTCCCAAGCTTCATGGAAAGACTCGTTTGGTTTTTGAGCGAAAGCCAATATCTCTTTCTTAAGTGCAAGAGTCTTGGAAGAAGGAAAAAACTTATTGAGAAATTTTTCTTGCAATTCTGTCCATGTTGTAATGCTATTGGCAGGCAGAGAATGCAGCCACGCCTTGGCTTTGTCCTTCAAAGAGAACGGGAACAAGCGTAACTTGATAGCTTCAAAAGAGAAACCTCTGATTATGGTGTTGTCACATGCCTCAATAAAATCAGCCAAATGCATGTTGGGATCACTGTTTGGCAACCCATGAAAGGATGGCAATATGTTGAGGATGTGAGGTTTGATTTCAATGGTTATCCCATCTTCCACATCTGGATATATAATGCACCTTGGCACTGCATTGATTCTCGCTGCCAATGAATTCCTTAAAGGTTGACCTGCTGCAGGTAAGGCTAAGGCCATGTGTGCAACTGGTGCCAAAGGTTGGAAAATAGATGTGCTGCTCTCAGGATCACGGAACAAATCCTTAAGAAAAGTATCACCAAGATTGGAATCTTGTGCTAAATATTTTTCTAATGCTAACTTCCTTGCACTTCTATCTGGTTCAGGGTCGTAAGGAATAAGCACTTGATTCTTGGACCTTGTTCCAATCACCATATACTACACCTGAACAAACAACAGAAATATTAAGCCGAAAAAATAAAAAATAAAAATAAAAATAAAAGTAAAATAAAATAAAACTTAACAGAAACTAACTAAACAACAAAAAGGAAAAGAAAGTAAGTAAACCTAGATGAATTAAAAACACAATTTATGCAAATTGGCAACCACTAGTTAGTTAAACAAAGACAAAAATCTCACACCACACATCCACTGCACTTAATCAAAGATCGAAATTCAACTAAATTAATTGCTGTTTTTTTTTTAAAAAAAAATTAATTTAATGATTAATAAAAATAAGACTTAAACATAAGCATAAGAAAAATAAACACAAAAGCTCGGGAACAGTTGGCACAGTCCCCGGCAACGGCGCCAATTTCTTGATAGCGATTTTACCACTTGTAAAACAAAGGGTTAAACCATAGAAAATTCTTGCAAGAAAACAAGTGTTTGTAGTATAGAATGGCTCAAGCAAGGTCGATCTCCTCAGGGACTGATATAAACAATTTACGAGTTTTTGTGTATTTACTTATTTAACTCTAAGAATTACACTAATTTTACGAAACTAAATACTATTGGATGTGAATTAAACAAATATCTAAAATGGGAATTTGCTTATAGGAACAATGATTCAACTTAACAAAACAATTAAAAATATAAACTCAAGATAATACAGTTAATTTAAGAAAATTAGATTGACAAGGTGCTAGAGTTCAACCTTTACCAACAACACTCATACGTAGCTCTTCCAATTGCTTAAATAATTGAAAATACCTATTCTTTGAAGGTTGGATTTTCCTTATGTATGTTTTACTTGTGACATTCAAGCTAAAACGCATACCACTACATGCAATTTATCCATGACATTTGGATTAAATATAAACATGAATGATTCATTAATCTTGATGAAAATTAAACCATGTAATCCCTAAGAGTATGATATTTACCTTAGGAGAAATTACAATCCTCAATCACAAGAAGCATAACCAATTTTAACGTGACATTCGTTCAAAATTGCATCTAATGACTTTTCTAAACATTCTAATGGTGATCAAGCATCAAGACACATAGATAGTTTAATTTAGAGATTGAAAATATCAAAGCAAGCATTTAACAACACTTAAGCAATTGAAAGAGAAATCTACGTAATCATGTTGCGGCTCATGGCCTCACTCTAGCAAAATAAATTAGTTACACATACATGTATTAATACATAAGAAATTATCCATAAAAAAATAACAAAGAACGAAAACACCTGTTTTTTTTTCAGACGAGCTCTCCGTTCCCTTTTCTTCCTCTCTTGACTTCCTCTTTCTCTGCGCCTGTTCTCTGCTCACTGCCCTGTGCCTCTATTCCTGCCGTGCTCTCCCTCTCTCTGCGCCTCCTTTCTCTGCGCCTCTGCTTCTTGTGTTTCCTTTCTTTCCGCACTGCCCTCCTCTCTCCTCTCTTATCTCCTTATGTCCGTGTCTCTCTCCTCTCTTATTCCTTTCTTTTTTTTTTCTTTTCTTTTCCTTCTGTCAGTCCATGTGCCTTCTCTGTCAGTCTCCATTAGGCCTGGCAAACGGGTCGTGTCAGTCGTGTTCGTGTCGTTTTCGTGTAACACCTGTTATCTTAACGGGTCGTGTCGTGTCACACCCGTTATCTTAACGGGTCCTTAACAGGTCGTGTCACTTTACCCAACGGGTAAAGTGACCTGACCCGTTATGACCCGTTAAGAAAAATATTTTTTTTTTCTTAAATTTGCACATACCACACATTGCCACATAAATATTACTTCAAAACATTAAAACACATTTGTTGTTTAAGTACTACATCTACACTCGAAAATAAGAGCCTAATAAAAAAATAATACATACACTACTAATCTATTACAAATTTTAAATGTGCAAGGATATGCAAAATGAAACAGTTTTTGTTTTCAAGGTTGTGAAATCTTTCTCAAAAAGTTTAAACCTCAATTTACAAAATCCTCGATTTACATCGATCATCATGAAATTGCATTGGAACTTTGGCTTGATTTATTGCCTTCAAGAGTTATGTTGATGATGTTTTCAGTAAGGTTTTCCACGTCATAACTATCTTCTGCATAAACTAAGCATAGAAAAACCAAACATTAAAAATCATTCAAATTATGAGAAGTTTACCAAAATAATTATGAAAAAAAATAAAACAATAGTACTATACCATACTTTTATTAAGTATAAACATAAGATTTTGTGGTATCCACTAGTGTAAATATTTTAAATTGAAGATCGAATTCAATCATTGTATTCATATAAGGTCAAGGAGTGTAGTTGTAAAAAAATCATCAAAATCGGAGTTAAATTAACCGTTAAATCGTGATTTTTCGTTTATAACCGTCGAAAAGTTTTTGTCCCGTTACGTGCTCTCTGAATGTTTGTTTTTTTGCAATTTTTGGCGTATGCGATCTCGAAATATATACAAACATGTTTGACGGTTGATCATTGAAACTAGTTTCGTAGAATGAGTATCCCATCAAAACAATAGATTCACTAATACTTAAGAGTTTATTCATACTTTTATTAAGTATAACATAAGATTTTGTGGTTTCCACTAGTGTAAATATTTTAAATTGAAGATCGAATTCAATCATTGTATTCATATAGGGTCAAGGAGTGTAGTTGTAAAAAATCATCAAAATCGGAGTTAAAATGACCGTTAAATCTTGATTTTTCGTTTATAATCGTCGAAATGTTTTGTCCCGTTACTTGATCTCTGAATGTTTGTTTTTTGCAATTTTTGGCGTATGCAATCTCAAAGTATATATAAATATGTTTGACGGTTGGATCATTGAAACTAGTTTCGTAGAATGAGTATCCCATCAAAACAATAGATTCACTAATACTTAATAGTTTATTCATACTTTTATTAAGTATAATATAAGATTTTGTGGTATCCACTAGTGTAAATATTTTAAATTGAAGATCGAATTCAATCATTGTATTCATATAGGGTCAAGGAGTGTGGTTGTAAAAAAACATCAAAATCGGAGTTAAAATGATGACCGTTAAATCGTGATTTTTCGTTTATAACCGTCGAAAAGTTTTGTCCCGTTACTTGATCTCTGAATGTTTGTTTTTTGTAATTTTTGACGTATGCGATCTTGAAGTATATACAAACATGTTTGACGGTTGGATCTTTGAAACTAGTTTCGTAGAATGAGTATCCCATCAAAACAATAGATTCACTAATACGTTATAGTTTATTCATACTTTTATTAAGTACAATATAAGATTTTGTGGTTTCCACTAGTGTAAATATTTTAAATTGAAGATCGAATTCAATCATTGTATTCATATAAGGTCAAGGAGTGTAGCTGCAAAAAATCATCAAAATCAGAGTTAAAATGACCGTTAAATCGTGATTTTTCTTTTTATAACCGTCGAAAAGTTTTGTCCCGTTAATTGATCTCTGAATGTTTGTTTTTTTGTAATTTTTGACGTATGCGATCTCGAAGTATATACAAATATGTTTGACGGCTGGATCATTGAAACTAGTTTCGTAGAATGAGTATCCCATCAAAACAATAGATTCACTAATACTTAAGAGTTTATTCATACTTTTATTAAGTATAACATAAGATTTTGTGGTATCCACTAGTGTAAATATTTTAAATTGAAGATCGAATTCAATCATTGTATTCATATAAGGTCAAGGAGTGTAGTTGTAAAAAATCATCGAAATCGGAGTTAAATTAACCGTTAAATTGTGATTTTTCGTTTATAACCGTCGAAAAGTTTTGTCCCGTTACTTGCTCTCTGAATGTTTTTTTTTTGCAACTTTTGGCGTATGCGATCTCGAAATATATACAAACATGTTTGACGGTTGGATCATTGAAACTAGTTTCGTAGAATGAGTATCCCATTAAAACAATAGATTCACTAATACTTAAGAGTTTATTCATACTTTTATTAAGTATAATAACATAAGATTTTTGTGGTATCCACTAGTGTAAATATTTTAAATTGAAGATCGAATTCAATCATTGTATTCATATAAGGTCAAGGAGTGTAGTTGTAAAAAATCATCAAAATCGGAGTTAAATTAACCGTTAAATCGTGATTTTTCGTTTATAACCGTCAAAAAGTTTTGTCCCGTTACTTGCTCTTTGAATGTTTTTTTTTTTGCAATTTTTGGTGTATGCGATCTCGAAATATATAAAAACATGTTTGACGGTTGGATCATTGAAACTAGTTTTGTAGAATGAGTATCCCATCAAAACAATAGATTCACTAATACTTAAGAGTTTATTCATACTTTTATTAAGTATAACATAAGATTTTGTGGTATCCACTAGTGTAAATATTTTAAATTGAAGATCGAATTCAATCATTGTATTCATATAGGGTCAAGGAGTGTGGTTGTAAAAAATCATCAAAATCGGAGTTAAAATGACCGTTAAATCGTGATTTTTCGTTTATAACCGTCGAAAAGTTTTGTCCCGTTACTTGCTCTCTAAATGTTTGTTTTGTGCAATTTTTGGCGTATGCGATCTTGAAGTATATACAAACATGTTTGACGGTTGGATCGTTGAAATTAGTTTCGTATAATTCGTATCCCATGAAGTTCAATGGTGTGTGTGTGTGTATATATATATATTTATTTATTAAGTAGATTTTTAAATCTATTTATTTTGTATGTATAATTTATTATAGTTTTTTAGGTGTATAAAATTTAATATATATATATATATATTAAATTATTATAGTTATATTTGGGTATAATTATTATAGTATATATTAATTATTATATTATTATAGTTAATTTAATATATATATATATATAATTATTATTATAGTTTTTAGGGGTATAAAATTGTTAAATTAATATATATATAATTATTATAGTATTTTTTTAGGGTTATAAATTATTAAATTAATATTCTGCTTATCGTGTATCGTGTTACCCACGTGTATACCCGAACAAACCCGTTATCTTAACAGGTGCTTATCGGGTTACCCGATAACGACCCGTTTCGTTATCGTGTCGACCCGAACACCTGTTAATTTCGTATCGTGTCGTGTCGGGTTATCGGGTCGTGTCAGGAATTGCCAGGCATAGTCTCCATTATGTTATTTCCCCTTTTCCTTTCTGCTGTGCTATCCTTGCTGTTCCTGCTTCTTGTATTCTTTTTTTTTTGGTTCTTCTACTCCTCTCTGTCTGCCCGCTCTGTCTTTCCACCCCATTGTCCCTGTCCCGTGTGCCTTTCTTCATCTTTTCTTATCTTTTTAATTCTTTCTTTTTTTTTTCTTTTCCTTCCACTTTTCTTGTCTGCCATCTTTTGCTTTAAACAATAAGGCAATGATCCTTTCAAAACATCACCCCGTGGAGACAAGCTCCACTTCCATTTCTCTTATTTGTTTTTATTAATTCCTTTTCTCCATTTTGCTTGAAAGTGATCATAAAATAAATTTAACTGCACATTAATACAAGATAAGGTAAAATGCCACAATTTTAACACAAAAACATCACAAAGACTTTAGAAATTGATGGTATAAATGCATGAAATATATAAGTGATCAGCATGGTCTTCCCAGCGCCATAAGAGCCCCGCAACTAAAGTCACCGATTTTCTTCCCTTTGAAAATATAGTTGTACACGTCGAATGCGTACTTTATGTTGAAATGTTTTTTGCACTCAACCACTGCCGGCGAGTCATCCAAATGCGCCAATGTTGGAAGTGCGCAATTTGCCAAAAGTAAAATGACCATAATTGGAAACATGTTTAGTCCGGCCATAATAATGGAAATAATGAGTAACTTTTGAATTTCTTAGAAAATAATCCCTTAAATGCAGTTGAACTTTGGTGCAAGGAGTTCTACACTTATAAGGGAAAAGGCAAAGGTGAGAGTCATTCGTAAAATGAAAAACGCATTTTCCTTTAAAACTACTTTAGCAACGTATTTACTGATGTGAGGTATCAAATACAAGGGTTTCTAATTTGGTATTTATCTTTGTACCATAAATGCAACTTACAAGTTCCCTTAAAATGTTTAATCAATCTTAACAATCACATAACTATTTATTATTTTGCACAAATATTACTTGTTTGCAAATTAAATTAATTCACTGTCTAGTTTATTACAATAGAGTTGCAAAAACCATGAACTGAACTTACATATCGTGTTAGTAACTATCATTGCGTGAAAAAGTAACGACAATCAGGAAAAAGACACGACTAGCCTTAATTGTTCTGCAATAAATGGACAAACGTATTTATCGAGTGTTATTATTCCTATTATAACAAAATGAAAATGTAAATATCGTATTGTCTAATAATCGGAGTGTAAAGTTTTGAAGTGTTTGAGAGAGTAGATTTGTTGCTCAATCTAAAAGAACGTTAATGTGTTTGGATCCACATCTATCTGACTGTACGCTGCTAATTTCTTCAACCCCATTTGTCTCATTTCATCACGAACCTTATTAGCCTCATCCCACCGTTCGTGAGTGGCGTATGTATTCGATATGAGAGCATAAGTTCCGATGCTTACTCCTCTACTCTTGAGGAGACCATTTCTGATCCTCTTAAGCATCTTCTCATTCCCATGAATTTTGCAAGCATTAAGCAACGCTCCCCAAACAACGCCGTCTGCTTCTGTTGGCATTTCCTTCATGAAATTCTCTGCTTCCTCTAAGAACCCCGCTCGACCATACATATCAACTAGGCAGGCGTAGTGCAGTGTTTGAGGGGCAATCCGATAAACATTTTTCATAGCATTGAAAATCATCAACCCTTGATCGACTAGACCTGCGTGACTGCATGCTGATAACAAGCCAAGGAAGGTTACATCATCAGGAGGAATCCCGTGGACTAGCATGAGCGAAAAGAGCTGCAACGTGTGTATACCATACCCATTCATGGCCATGCCGCTTATGATGGTACTCCACGAAATGTGATCCTTGCAAACCAGGGTTTTAAAAACCGAAACTGCCATACCTACTTCACCACACTTTACATACATGTTTATTAATGCATTTCCCAGAATGCCATTCAACACGAGATCTGGGCGTGCACTTATATACGAATTCACCCACTGGCCTAAACTCAATGCCCCAATCGAAGAACACGCTGCCAATACATTTACAATGGTAGCCTCATTAGGCTCAACTTCCTCTCCCTGAACCATCCCCTGAAAAAGCTTCACTGCCTCATCGCAAAATCCTCTTTGTGCATAACCACCCACCATGCTAGTCCACGAATACACATCTCTCCTGGGCATATTTACAAACAGGTACCGTGCACTCACCAAAGACCCACATCTCATGTAAAAATCCAACACTGCATTGTCCAAAATAACATTCCTTTCAGATAACTTCCTCATACAATATCCATGAACAGATTTACCAAACTTTAAAGCTCCTAAACTCGAACAAGCGGACATGACAATGACAAGAGTAGTAGAATTAGGCGGCACATCCATGGACATAAACTTAACAATTGCTTCCTCCACAAATCCACACTTGTTAAGACCCGAAATCATCGAAGTCCACGAAACAACATCAGGGTTTGGTATGGAATCGAAAACCCGGGTAGCAGATACAATGTCAGCTTGGGTTACGTAGAAGTGAAGCAACGAGTTTTGGATGAAGGTATCGGAAAAGTGCCCGGTTTTTACGACTCGGGCGTGGACTTCCCGGCCCTTGTTGTCATCATGGAGGAAGCAACATGCCTTGAGAGCGTAAGTGAAGGTGTAGTGGTTGTGGGAGGTTGGGTGGTGGAGCATTTGGTTGTAGAGGAAAAGGGCAGTTTGTGGGGCGGGGGAGTTTGTGAGATGTCCCAGTAGAGGGTTTAAGAGTTGGGGTTTAGGGTTTTTGATGATTTGGGCAAGGATGATTTGCTTTAATTGTCGTTTCATTGTATGTTTTGACGAAAATGTATACACAGTAGGTGTCGGAATTGCTGGGCATTCATCTTTTTCTTGAGGAGAAATCGGACATCTGAAACAATTGTGGAATTTGGGTTGCACAGAGGAAGGGATGCGGAGGAAGGAGGGGGATCCGCCGGTCGGGGTTGGTACGTGCGGTTTGGGGTGGGTATAGGGCGGCTGTTCCAAATAAATTAAAAAAATCAAAAGTCATAAATTAACAAGGAATGTGCGCAAGGTAAAAATAAAGAAAAATTATATTGAATCAACACTTTTTAAACATTAAAAGGAGAGACAAAAGTTAATACATGTGAAATATGACATCATTACCTTTTTTTTTCTTTGAAGTGTAGGTTACAAAATTAACCTTTATAGTAAAAAAGTTTTTTCACACCTTTATCTCTTCATCTATTGCTCTGTGTCAGGTGGTGTTCCCTACTAATAGAATTTTGACATCTAAATCGTCTTTATCCCTTTTTAATCAAATAAATTCTTAAAATCTGGAAGTCTAATAGTCAAACAAAAACTAAATCATGTGAACTTCCCCATCAAGCACTTCTGCAACTTGCTTTCGAATTCCATCATATTTCCTACTCAATTTCGAATTCAATCTTGTTTGCCCCACACTCACCCTCCACTTTGAAAATCGTAGTCTACAAAGAGAGGAAAAAATAACGGAAGTCAACTTCTAAATCCCAAAGCACGCCATGCCCAAACCCGATTATCTCTCTCTTTCTCATGTTTTCATTTTCTGGGTGTTGGTAAATTTTGATGATTTCTGAATTAGTGAAAAGATTTACAGAATGAGTAATTGGTAATGGCGGTAAGAGTTGACGGTGGAAGTACAACTACGTTAAATTAATTGGTTTTCTGTCGACGATTCAGCATCTCAATTTTTAAGAATTAAAGATATAAAAGAATATTTAGATGTCAAATTTCAATTGGTGGGAACACCACCCAGCTTTTGTGCCGGGAACCCCAAAAAATTTCTCCACAGTGAGCTCGCATTTTTTATGCAAAAATGGTTGAGGATAGGTTGAACTGATTCTGCAAAAATGGTTGAGACTTATTGAACTGGTTCTACAAAAATGGTCAATGACGAGTTGAACGGATTCTGCAAAAATGTTCGAGAACTGGTTGAACTAATTCTGCAATAATTATCGAAGACGGGTTGAACTGATTCTGCAAAAATGGTCGATGATTAGTTGAATTGATTCTGCAAAATGGTGGGTTTAATTTATTCTACAAAAAATGGCCGAGGACTGATTGAACTGATTCCGCAAAAATGGTCGATGACTGATTAAACTGATTTTGCAAAAAAATGTCGAGAACCAGTTGAACTGATTCTGCAAAAATGGTTAAAGACGGGTTGAACTGATTTTGCAAAAATAGTGGTTGACGGGTTGAACTGATTCTGCAAAAAGGTGGGTTGAATTGATTATGCAAAAATAATTGATGATTGATTGAACTGATTCTGCAAAAAAGGTCGGGGACGTGTTGAACTGATTATGCAAAAATAGTCGAAGATGGGTTGAATTGATTTTACAAAATGGTGGTTAACGGGTTGAACTGATTCTGCGAAAAGGTGGGTTGAATTGATTATGCAAAAATGATCGATAACTGATTAAACTGATTCTGCAAAAAAGGTCAAGGACCTATTAAACTGATTCTGCAAAAATGGTCAAAGACAGGTTGAACTGATTTTGTGAAAATGATCGAAGACTGATTGAATTGATTATGCAGAAATAGTCGAGGATGGGTTGAGCTTATGGTATATATTAATTTTGTTGGAGTTGTGAGGGTTGGTTTCTATAACAACCCTAAAGCCTTAAGGGTATGACTGGTATTTTAGAACATTGTTTCCATGTTTCTAGGCTGGACTTTAGTTGTTTTTATGTTTTTGTCTCTCATTGACATGTTTAAAAGCTAGTGGAGTTCCTTGAAATATAGTGAATTTTTTTGTCTCTATATATAAAGCTCCTAGTCCTTGGTGTTTTACCGACCAATCCCCTAGCTACCCTATACTTGACATAAAAAGAAGGGAAATACCTCAAAATGGGACAATTTCATAATCTTGGGACAGAAATATGATTTTTTTGAATATGCATACAGCATGCACACGTTAGGCCTGGCAAACAGGTCGGGTTTGTCGTGTCATGTTTGTGTAAAACTTATTATCTTGCCAGATCGTGTCGTGTCACACCCATTATCTTAACGGGTTCTTAACACGTCGGGTCACTTTACCCAACAAGTAAAATGACCCGACCTGTTATGACTCATTAAGAAAAATATTTTTTTTCCTTAAATTTGCACATACCAAATTCCCACATAAATATTACTTCAAAGCATAAAAACACATTTGTCGTTAAGTACTACATCTACACTCCAAAATAAGAGCTTAATAAAAAAGCACCAATACACTACTAGTCTACTGATGCGAAATATATAAGCACACAAATTAAACCCTCTTTTTATCAAATGTAGTAAAGTATGTAAGTAGGGATCGTTCTAAACCGGGGATTAGGAGGGCTTGCTAAAACCTCTAAACTAACTCAAAAACATAAAAACAAAGTTAAAAACGTTTGAATAGACTTAAAGAACTCAAAACAGGTTCACAAGACTCAAAATAACTTAAAGACACTCAAAACTGCCTAAAAAACACAAACTAGGCAGTTTCTGACTCTAGCACAACTTTGGACGAAATTTGGGTTTTGACTTGACTCAAAACACTCTAAAACACAAACAAACAAATTTTAAACACTTTGAAACAAGAAAGTAAAAGGGGGATTTTAGTTTTGATGAATTTGAAACAAACAAACAAGTTATAAAACTAGGAAGATTGTAAAACAAATTTAAGAAATAAGATGATGGATGGATTAGTTAGAGGTCCGTTCTTCACACATGACACACTTGTATATGAATTGATTTCCAATTGCTTTTCAATAAACTATGATGCTCAACACCCCAGATTAATTAGGTACGCTTAAATTAATCCTCAGATTTTCCTAATTTCATTGAATTGGATGATTGCATACAACAACCCAAAGCATTCCCCACAAGTTCCCTACATGAATTGCATAATAGAGATACAAGCAAGAATCATTAAGTTCTATAAAAATCATAAGCATTGACGAAACACTTGTAACTATGAATTGCATGAAACTTATGCCAAGAATTCAATTAACGCGATTGTGATAAACAACCTTCACTACTTATGAATATAAATTTGTAACGATTAGGTGAAACTCATTTATATTCTAGCATCTAATTCATGCATGAAAACTAAGTATGCATCCTTAATAAACATACAAGAATTAGTTATGAATAAAATAGATAATTGAATTGCAATCACAACTTATCAAATCACAATTGGAAGAAATCAATTTAAATCTCAAGCATGTTCATGGCTTCAAACTTCCCCCTAACTAAAATAGGGGTTTAGCCACTCATACTTACAAAGCAAAGATAAACAAATTTAAACATTGAAAACAAAAGAAAGAAAACACCTAAAAACGCTCCAACAATCCAATTTTGAATGGCAAGCACGTCCAAGATCCTTCTTCTTCTCTTTGTAGCGGCACAAGGTGTGGTTTGATGGATGAGTGGTAAATTATGGTGGTGGATGGATATAGGTGGGTTATGGTGAAGGGTGGATGGGTGGATTGTGTTCTCTCTTTGGTTTTCTTCCCCCTTGTTATGGTGAAGGGTGGATGTATTTATAGGCTAGGGAGAGGACCACTCCATTTCCTTTGCATGTGAGCTTGTGTGGGTGTGTGTTGGCATGTTTCCTCTTTACATTTACACACACATGACCTCCATCATTTCAACCACAAATCAACCCATTTTATGCCCATGTGTGTGTGTTTCCTTTGCCCATGTGTGTGTGTGTTTTCCTTTGCCCATGTGTGTGTGTTTTTTCCTTTGCATTTGTACACACACATGTTCTTCATTATTTCAGCCAACAATCCACCCATTTTCTGCCCATGTCAAACTATCCATGCCTTGCCTTTCTCTTTGTGTATGTGCTGTCCACGTTTCTGAACCTTTCAGTGTTACAATGCCCATAACTTCTTCTAGAAAAATGATATTAACAATCCGTAAATTGCTCCAGAAAGTAGACATCCGTAGCTTTCCACGAATATAAGGCTCATTTTCTAATTCATTCTGAGCTGTTTGTAACATGCTTTCAAAGTCAGCTAATCTGCACAGGCAGTTTTGACGAATTTGTTGGTTGTCCATGTTTCTCTTTTGCACATGCCTTTCTTGCTGTTTTCTTCTTTGCATGTGTGTGTTGTCATCTTTGTTTCTCCTTTGCACATGACATGTGCTGTCCATGTTTAGATCCCCTTTGCATTTGCACACACTTGCTTCATCATTTCAACCACAAAACACACCATTTCCTTCCCCTTTGCCGTGTATGTCCCTTTTACTTTGCATGTGGGCTTCTTTGCATGTGTTTTCTCCCTCTCTTGCCTTGAGTTTGCATGTGGGCTTCTTTGCATGTGTTTATCCTTGCAATTACACACACACACTTGCACACACAAAAGCCCAAAACGTCCATCCTCATGTCTCCATGTTTGCACCATCCAATCTTAGCCCAAAAATGCTCCAAAATGCTCCAAAATGCATCTTCTTGCATCCTTGGCCCATAGAACCTACAAACACACAAAAATGGCTTAAACTACTAACATAACTAAGAACTAAGAACATAAATGCACGAAAACAAACATACTAAGTCGCATAAATATGCTCCTATCATCTACTACAAAATATCAAATGTGCAACGATATGCAAAACGAATGAGTTTTTCTTTTCAAAGTTGTGAAGCTTTTCTCAGAAGTTAAAACCTTGCCAATGAAACTCAAAGCTTGCATGTTATTCCTTTTACAAAATCCTTCAATTTCATCGATCACCATGGGGAAATTGTATTGCATGTTATACCCGGACCAACCTGTTATCTTAACATATGCTTATCGGGTTACCTGATAACGACCCGATTCGTTATCATGTCAACCCGATAATTTGTTAATTTCGTGTCGTGTCTGTCGGGTTAATGGGTCGTGTCAAAAATTGCCACGCCTAGCACATGCCATGCACAATAATCGGACATAAATAGGATTTTTTTCTACACCTTGAAAGGATCAAATTGCCCTTGTACATAAATGAGTTAATTCTTTCCATTTTTTTATTTCTCTACTCTCCTCTCTCTCTCTCTCTCTCTCTCTCTCTCTCTCTATGACATCTACACACTCTGTTCTTTTTCCCTACCCGCATTCAATTTCTTCACAAATTACTAACCCTAACCCTAAATCCCTTTCAATATGCGATCTGGGTTTTAACGTGCAAGAGTTGTGCTTGAGTTTGATAACAGATATCGATTTGCAAAGTTCAAACCCATTTGTTAGGGTAATTAATGGCTGACCATGGTGTTAGGGTTTTACCCTACACATGGCGGCAGGTTTTGTGGAGAACTATTCTCAAGATATTAAATAGGAGATAATATCTTGAGATAATGAAGTAAATATCCCTAATTGACTTAAATAGAGATTACTTACTTGGATGGAGTCAATCTTCAATTGGGAATGTATTAAAGATAGGATTTGGGTAATTAATCCTTATCTTTAATGATTTGACTTTTCCTTGTGATGCGTAAAATAAGTTAACACACAAAATTAAACCCTCTTTTTATCAAATGTAGTAAAGTATGTAAGTAGGGATCGTTCTAGGCCGGGGATTAGGAGGGATTGCTAAACAC